GCTGGTCGTAACCCGAAAAGTTTGTTAACAGAAGTGTTCGTAACCCGAGGTTCCACTGTATATTGAGAAATTCTGAAGGACAGTTGATGGGTCAGCTGATTGGATGAGAATAAATGTTTCACCTATCTTCAAGGAAGTGGGATTTTTTTCTTTGTAGGTTGTTGGAATGTTGTCAGTCCAGTTTTAATCAAAGCATTCTGTTGCTTTGCTGCAAGAAGGATTTGAGTATTAAGGATCTAGATGACTTTGTGGATCACAAGCTGAACATGAGCTACCAGTGTGATGCAACTACAGTGCAAGCCCCACCCCCCAAAGCAGATGTAGTCTTAGAAATAACAGAAATAAAATGGTCAAGCAAGGGAAGTCATTTTTCTTCTGTATTCTGCATTGATCAAATTGAACCTAGGACAGTGTGTCCAGTAATGGGCACCAGATTTTAGGAAGGACATTGACAAAGGAGAGCATGGCCAGAAGAAAACAATCAGCATGATAAGAGGTCTGGAAGGAAAAGCTATAAGAAATAGTAGAAGGTGTTAGCTATGTTTAGCCTACAGAAGTCTGTATGTGACATGATACCTGTCCTCACATACCTGTTGAGCTGTCATGTAGAAGATGGGACAAGAAATAGTGGGGTTAAATAACAAGGAAGTATATTTTGGTGGGATATCAGAAAAGAAATCCTAATGATAACAGCAACAGTGGAATGCAATGCAATGCCTTGGGAGGTGGTGGAAGCTCTTCTTCTGGAGGTGTTTAAACAGAAGCTGGATGGCCATCTGTTGGAGATGGAGTAGTAGTGGATTCCTGCCCTAAACAGGTGGCTGGGCCAGTTTATGTTTTAGAGTTCCTTCCAACCCTTACTTATTATGATTTACAGGTAGTCCTTGCTTAACAATGGTGATTGGGACCAGCCTTTCCATTGCTAAGTGATGCAGTTGTAAAGTGCAACATCATGTGACTGCATTGCTTAGCGACAGCAATCCCGGCAGTCCCTGTTGCCATCATTAAGCAAAAATCGCAAGTCATTAAGCGAGGACCTCATGTGACTGTGACCTGCAACTTCCTGCCGGCTTCCCACAAGCAAAATCAATGGGGAAGTTGGCTGGAAGTTACAAGTCTCAGGTGGCTCAGAAGCATGCCAGAGGGTGGGTGAGTACTATAGACTGAGGTGGGGGGATGCTGCGGCGAGTGCACGCGGGCTGGGGAGGGGGTGTTGTGCTGCATGAGTGCGCACAGGCTGGGGAGGGAGTGCTGTGGTGCAAGCATGCTATGGAGTATGAGATCCTTGGAAGGGATCCTCAGGAGACAAAGTGGCAGGAGCGACTTGCAACCTTCCTTGCCAACTTCCCCATTGATTTTGCTTGTGGGAAGCTGGCAGGAAAGGTCTTAAATGGCGATCACGTGACCGCAGGACACTGCAGCTGGCGTAAGTGTGAGCTGGTTGCCACGCACCCAGATTGCGATCCTGCCCGGGTGCTGCAACAGCTGGAACTTTGAGGACTGATCATAAGTACCATTCCTTCAGCATTGCTGCAACTTTGAATGGTCACTGAACGAGTGGTCGTTAACCTAGGACTACCTGCAACAGAATATCCCATGACATTTTAATTATCATACCACTAAAGTATAGACTGAAAGACATGTTTACAGTTCATGCAAAAGATTAGGCACCTCTGATCAAATTATATGTTTCCCTAAATGAACAGAAGTGCTACATGGTGCCAAGTTAAATACAATATCTTTCTCCACGTTTGAGTGCATACTTTCTATTTATGTGCAGTTGTTTATGCCTTCAAAATTAACAACAGTGAACAGTGGGCTTGGGGGGAGGGTGTCAAAGATGATGGAAAATCAAATATTTTACCAGCCAGAGAAAAGCCAGTTGCTAGCCTGTCTCACAGAGGGAAAATTTGCCACCAATAAATTAGGAAGTAGGCAGGGGATAGAAGAAGAACACTGTACATATATATTGTATCAACTTTATCAAATGCATACATACCTATGTAGAAAACACACTGTACAATATTAAGTAGAGAGAAAAAAATTCTGTCACTCTGCAGTTTAGAATCTCAAGTGACTGCTCTTATCTCAAATGGGTAGCAGAAGAGGGGAATAATAGAATAAGGTATTCTCTCTGTAAATTAGGCTTGCAAAGCTTTGCTGGGAAATCAAAATAGATGTTGTCTACATAATAAAGATGAAAAATTCTGAAATAGTGTGTTGTACTGAGATTGTCTCCTGACAATCCATAGAAAGTCTGGTCCGTGTGTGACAGTAAACTGTAATGGCTGCATTCATACATCATACAAAGCCAGAAACCAGTCAACCACATGATAGCTTAGTAAGATAAGTGAACGGAAACTGTGATATTTTTGACTTGATCTCTTTGATTTAACAGATTCTTGAATCTTCTTTTGGGTTATTAAACTCTTCACACCTATCTTTGAAATAGTGTTAATGTTTCTTATGAAGGATCTCGTATTCTGATTCTTGTAATGATGTTCTTGATAGTCCAGGTTTCAGCTGTAGAGGTATACACACCATCAGAGCTCGCTGTGGAGAATGGGACTGAGGCAAAGCTTCCATGCACTTTTACATCCACAGAAGTGATCAGCAGTTCAGCTTCTGTAACCTGGAGCTTCCAAGGCGAGGGATCATCATCTTCTGTCTCGGTAAGATGTTGTTTGCAAAAGAAAATTCAATCTCACTAAGAAGCCTTATTAATTCTTGCTTACTTTCTCTATTGCTAAAAGCCTGACTGTTCCCTGTTGGTTAAGATATTAACTGTATTTTGCTCCAAAATTGATTGCCACCAAAAACCCTGTTTAGATGAGGAAATACTTTAACCCATTTCACATGCTTGGTTAGGTATCTTCTTATCTTAATGATAGGACAGTAATAAACTGATACAATAATAAAATCTTGTAGTAGTAACAGTTTAGTAGAGTTCAGCAAAAGAAAAAGGGAATTGAGGAAAGTGAGGCAGAGCGAGATACCCTGAGCGCTTGAAATTAGTCTAAAACCTCCTTTTGTGACATTATATATTAGATGCTTCTTTGACCTTTCAATAGGTTTAAAACCAGCTTTCCAGGCTTTCAGATAGAGTATTATCCTGGCAATTCTTGCATAGGTTTTGAAATTCATATATTGTTTGAGCTAGGTTTTGAAGAAATTTAGCAGATTTGTTAAGACAATAGGGGAAAGCAGGTTTTTAACACAGCATAATTTTTGTGTTCTTGATTACAGTTCTTCTATTATTCCAATGGAAAGGCATATCCTGGGAAGAGCACACAATTTAATGACAGAAGCAGCTGGGCTGGAGACCTTAACAAGAAAGATGCATCAATCAATATAGCAAACATGCGATTTCAGGACAATGGCACTTATACCTGTGATGTTAAAAACCCTCCAGATATAGTTGTTACACCAGGAAAAATCAAAGTCAGGGTTGTGGAGAAAGGTACAGTAATGTTTGGACGGAATGAGGAATTAATTAATGAGTGATGGAGGGGTTCTGCATATGTTGTATTCTTTCTCTAAAATTTTTGTAGATAGTCCTCAACTTATAACCCCAACTGGGAACAGAATTTCAGTCACTAAGCAATGCAGTCATAAAGTGAGATGTCACATGACCTCATCACTTAGCGATTGCAATCCTGGCAATTCCCCTTGCTGTCGTTAAGTGACTTTTACCTGTCGTTAGCCGAGGACCCATCCCAATCCAAGCCATTCCGGACTTGGTCCCTCCCAGCCCCAAGCCTCAATAAGGTAAGGGACTGCCTCTAACTCTCCCCATCCACCTGTTCCCCCCATCTCTGCCCTTTTGGCCACCCTGCACCCTGCCTTGGGGGTGGCAAGCAGCCCCCAAACCATAGTGCAGTACAAACCTGCAGCCACCCCTGGAAGCCTCAGCCACCCCAGCGGCCAGGAAGTGCCAACAAGTGTTAGCAAGCATTCGTTTGCCCAGCTGCCTTCTCTCCCAGTTCCCTGCATCAACCTTTTGTGCCCAGCCATAGCGGCTGGGAAGTGTTAGCAAGCATTTGCTTGCTCAGCTGCCTTTGCTGTCTCCTTTTCAAACACAGCTTCTCCTGCAGACATTTCCTCTACATGGCTCCCCGAGCCTTTGGAGAGCTGCCCTCTCTTTCTAAAGGCCCTGCGAAGACAGCACAGCTCTCTGAAGGCTCAGGGAGCCACACAGAGGAAATGTTCACAGGAGAAGCTGTTTCTGAAAAGAAGACAGCAAAGGCAATTGAGTGAACAAATGCTTGCTGATGCTTGTGGATCCTTCCTAGCCACTGCAGCTGGGAGTAAAAGGTGAAAGGTTGGTGTGGGAAACTGGGAGAGAAGGCAGCTGGGTGAACTTGCTGGCTCTTGCTGGAGTGGGCTGGGGTGGCTGAGGCTTCCAGGGGTGGCTGCAGCTTCATGCTGCACTGCAGCTCAGGAGCTTCTTACAGCCCCAGAGCTGCACAGTTCTGGGGCTGCTTGCCACCCCACAAGGCAGGGAGCAGGGGGCTAAAAGGGCATAGATGAGGGGAGGATAGGGGTGGGGGGAGTTGAAGCACCCTTGCGGTTGTCAGTGTGGGTGGGCTGCCAAGCACCCACATTTTGATCGCTTGACCATGGGGGCACTGCAACAGCCATAACTTCGGGCACCAGTCGTAAGTCACTTTTTTCAACGAGTTCGTAACTTTGAACGATTGCTGAACAAATGGTTATAAGTTAAGGATTACCTGTATGTAACAAATAATTCACTGAAGCAAGTACTTGTTTGGCCATTCTGCTGCATTTTATTTAATTATTTTATTATGAACAGTGGAGTGGAAATTTCACCAGCATTTTATTGTATTAAAGATTATGGGATAACTCAGTAAAGAAGTTAATGGCAAAAGCCAAAGTTCTGTGTTCATCTGTGATTTTTGGAATAAATTACAAATACACTTTCAGTTCCAATATATCTTAAATTTACATTTAAATAAATATAGAATAGTCTTTTCAAAAGCCAGATTAAATGTGTTCCCATCAAATGTGCTATAATGTATGGTACATTTCAGAAGAATTGCATTTCTCAAAGTTTTTGTCCTTGTACTGGTATTAACCATTGTATTTTGAATTTTACAAGAGTCTTTAGCAGAATATTATTAGGTGTATTTTAAAATCAAGACCAGGAAAAGATATTCCTGAACATGTTAACATTTTACTCAGAGACAAAAATCTTAAAATTATAGCAGCAACAGCCAAATTTTTAACTATGGCTATAAAGCAAAGTCTTTAGTAACACATCAATAGTTTTGAATTTTAAATGTTTTATGTAATATTTATCAATTATTTTATTTGTTAAACTGTTTTATCTAATGCCAAATTTTAGATTATATTTGTACTTTGCTATTTGAGTCTTTTGGCTGTAAATAAAACTATATATAAATTTACCAAGGAAAACCAACAAACTTGAGAGGGTCTAAATGATTGCTTTATTTGAAAGATGAGTCACTGGACTCTGCACAAGATGTGGAGAGTCGCAAAGTAAAATTAGAAGGCTCTTATATAGCAAAAACATCTTCACAAAAAAGATACATGGACAATAGGGATTGGGTTTACATAAAGGACATCATTTTGCAACTCATAAGGGAGGAATATGCTTCATGCTGTTCTCTGGTATACCTAAACTTGTTTTCTTGTATACCTAGCTATCTGCAAACTCCGGTTAGCTAGCAGCAGGAGCTAGCAAGCTGTCAGTTTGAAAATCATTCCTAATTTCATTCCTAAGGAGAAGTCTTAAACATTCTGCTACAAGAACTAATTACTTTCACCACAAAAGTAGGACACTTATTTTGCCCATTTAAATAGCTAGTGAATAACAAAATATAAAACACCCTTTTCTGATAAAAGTCTACAAAGCCCTGCCCCAAAAAGTTACACATTCTCTAGAATAGCTTCTCCCCATTTGGTGCCTTCCAGATAAGTTGGGTTGCAATTTCCACCATCTCAGCCAGAATTTACACAGAATAATTTTCTGTGTAAATGAGATTCAGAAACAAAAAGTAAGATGACATTCTCAGCAGTTCTGAGTGACAACAGTGGGATGCTGTGATAGTTATTAGATTTATTTCAGATAGTGGAAGAAGGCAGAAAAGGATCAGACTTCCTTGACTTGACACAAACTGATAGGTAAGACAGGTAAAAATAAAATGATGAGCATATTCAAATACATCTTGGACTTTTAAAAAGTGGATTTTTATAAACTGAGAGCAATGATAAGTAGGGCTCCATTGTAAGAGAAGCTAATGGGAAGACAAACTTAAGATAGGTGGGAGCTCCTAAGAAAAGAAATTAAAACAATTATATTGAGGAAGAAGAAATAGGAGATAGCAGAAATGTGGTTATATAAAGGCTTAGTGAAGATCTGAAAACAGGGACACAGAAAGGGGGCGGAAAGAAAAGGTAACCAACTAACAGTATTGATAGGTAATCCAGAACAGTAGATATGATGACACAAAAGATAAACACAAAATAACCTGGGTTTGGTGAAAGATGTTAACAGTGCTAAAAAGGGCTTCATTCAGTAGGTTCAAAAGAAAAGGAAAAGAATCACTATACTAGTTGCTCAGTGATGACAGCAGACTGCCAACAGGTAAAAGAAAAGTAAACTTCTATATTGTCTGTCTTCTCCAAGCAGAAGGCATGTGTTCCACCAGACAGTTTGAAAAAGAAAATGAAAAGGATAGGACTGAGCTTGTGAATGATAAGAAACTTAATCATGAAATATCTATAACTTTCCAAGGCCAGATGAATTGCATGTGGGGTGTTGAAGGAGCATCTTCTGATCTGGCCAAACCTTAATATATTATTCTGAAGAAATCCTGGACAATGGGTGAGGTTGCAGACAGCTGGGAAAGGCAGATACCCCATCTTAAAATGGATGGGGTGGGGTGGAGACAGAATCCAGAGAACCGCAGACAAGTCATTCTGACATTAAAAAAATGGGAAGAGTCTAGAGCAGATCATAAATAAATTGTTTTCTAGGTGGTACAAGGTCAGTCTGGTAATTGTCAGAAGGCCACATGAATGGTAACATGAATTTGTCAAGAACAAATTTTGTCAGTAATGATTAATTATTCCTTAATCTGGAATAAGATTAGTTTGATTTGTAACTAATTAGTAAATTATAGAAATACTACAAATAGAACATAACTTTATTTTAATAAAACCTTTTACAAAGTACCTTATGGCCTTCTGATTAGCAAGCTAGTGTGAGGATGATATAACAATTCAATGTATATATAGCTGGCTTGAAAATCATGCTCAAAGAACATTTGTCAGTGGCTCCGCCTCAGAGTGGAATAGATATCAGTTGGAGTAAAATGAGATGTAGTCTTGGGCCCTGTACAATTGAATCTTTTTATTAATGGCTTGGATGAAGAGATGGAAGAAATAGTTATTAAATCCGCAGGTGATACAAAATAAAGTACAATATCTTAGAAGGCAAAAATAAAATTCAAAATTACCATGATAGGTGAGAGAAATAGGCTAAGCGAATTAAATTTGTCAGAGACAAATAAAGTTCTTTAAAAAAAAACAAATCAAATGCACAAGAATGGAGTTGGGGATGTATGGTGGTAATAATGTGAAAACATAATACTTGATTACCAACTTAATAGGAGTTGGCTGTTAGTTTTTTCTGAAAGATAAAGGTAGGATGCATCCTGTATAGCATATCAGTGGGTTTCACTTCATGTTTAATAGGAGTAAAAATTATACTGCTGATAAAATAGATACATCCATAACTGATATATTAAAAATTCTAACAGAATAATGTGTGACCAGTTTTAACAAGGAGTAAGATAACTGAAATGAAAGTTTTTTCTCTCCTCAGGTAACTTGTCTGTATTTCCTCTTCCCCTTGTGTTAGGGGTAACCAGTGTTGGCATTCTAGTTTTAGTTTTGCTCATCATGCTTATTGTGTGTGTTGTGAACAGAAAGAAGAATTCCAAAAAGCATTATTCTGGGTAAGGTACTCCACTTGTTTCTTTAGATATGTGGGGGTGGGAGTGGGGTGGGAAATATGAGGAGTTTGGAACATGAATTGTTCATTTATATTTTGTTGGATTAAATTAACTGGAACCACTAGAAATCCCATCCCTTTATGCCTATAAATTATCAATGTCATTGTGCACATATGTATCTCCTTTTAACGAGCCCAGGTCCATTAAGTTTCTTTGCCCTTCCTGGAAGGTAGCATAAAATTGCCCCCTTGTAGCTTTCAGGATAAAGAGACTGTCCTCATTGTCAGGCTACATTTTGGATGGCACAACTTGTTTTCTAAGTTTGGGGTATGGCTGCCAGTTCCTTTTACAACAGTCTGCTTGCCAGAGCTTTCCAATCCTGGCTTTGGGAAAACTGCCCTTCTGCTATTTTCACTGGCTTTATCATCTGCATGACTTCTTTTGGTTCATATTGCGCTCATGATGCCTCCTTTAATTTGGCTTTGAGGAACTTCTATTAGAAAATATCTTCAAGGTGGGTTATATGCCATGAAATATTTGTTGATGGGCTCCTTTGAACTGGTGGTGGGACTTACCTACTTTGTTTTATCACTTAACTCCAACAGAAATGCAGCCCTGTGCACAGAAAACTGTACACATAACAATTCTTTGAGGATCAGTCATTTCACAGCCTGACTTCTTCCTGCTTTTGTAGATCCAGTAAATGTTATTCATACAGCGCTAAAAAGTCAGTTTGTAATGGATGTACTTAATTGGAACCTTCTCTGTGCCTTCTTTTTAGCTGCAGAGTTTAGAAAGGGCTGCAGTAGAGGTCAGTGGTAAGGTTGAATGAGTGCAGTGAAATTGGCTGTATAAGCTCTGGGTTCATTGTGGAAAGCTTAATTTCCTTTGTGCATGTGCTATTTCCATAACACTTGAAGGTAGCTTATACTGATCTGCACCCAAGGGTGCCAAATCTTAATATTAGTAATCAATGTTTTGACCAGTATATTACTCCTGAAAGTTATTTAACGGTTTGAGACCATAATATCTTTGTATAAAACAATTGTACTTTTGTGGTTGTCTCCTAGCAAACATTATTAACATTGATTTCATTGACTGTACTGTGTTTCTGATGGTTACTAAGTGGTGGGATGTCTATTGCAGTAATTACAGATAAGAGTGTATGTATGTTTATATATATATATATATATATATATATATATATATGTATGTGTGTGTGTG